CCCACCATTACTATTATTACCACCAGTGTCAAACACATGTCTATTTTTCATGTTTCAACTTCACCATTTTTATCACTACTTTTATTAGTATTAGTACTACTACTACTACTATTATTATTATTATTATTACTAATACTAATACAGTTAACAGTAGACTTCTCCTCATCGTGTCTTCTTCTTCTTCCTCTTCTTCTTCTTCTTCTTCTTTCTCTTTCTCTTCTACTGTACCACTTCCTTTTCCTCTTCCTCTCTTGTCCACAACTCTGGACGCCTTTTAATTTGATTACTAATCCAATTAGAGTGACATACTCGTACTACTAGCTAAGGGATGAAAACACGACGACAACACACGAGTACCCTTTTCGCCCAGGGACCATATTCGTCATCTTTCTTCGTTCCGTTCCGTTCGTTTTCCTTATTCTTGATGAAAATACTTTCGACAAATATTATTCTTATCAAACCCTATCATTCCATTTTCAACCCCCCCGCCCTCTATATTATTTATTTTCTTTTTATTTCAGTCATTTATTTATTGATTTTGTTTTATTTTCATTTTTAGTTCTGATCATCTTTTACATTTATATTTGTTTTATTTGTATTTTGTTGTTCACCTTCTTGTTAAAATATTTCAACAAATATGTTTTCTTAACAACCCCTTACATTATTTATTTTATTTGATTCATTTAATTATCGATTTATTGATTTATTTATTTTTTTTTTTTTTTCATTTTTTTTACAGTAATGCAATTAGATCCAGGGGACTAAATATATTCGTCATCTTTGTTGTTCTCGTTGTTGTTGTTGTATAAAAATACTTAAAAAATATTTGTTATTTTTCCATTCATTTTCAACCCCTACATTATTTATTTTATTTTATATATAAATTATGTAGATTTATTGCACCCTTTTTTTTCTTTTTCATTTTAGTTTGTTATCATTTTGTAATTTTTATTTGTATTTTTTTTTAAACAATCTATCTATCTATCTTACATTATTTTTTTTTTTTTTTATTTTTTTTTACTGTAATGCAATTAGATCCAGGGGACTAAATATATTCGTCATCTTTGTTATTCTAGTTGTTGTTGTATAAAAATACTTTTAAAAATATAATTTTTTTGTTTCTATTCATTTTTATTCTTTTCATTTGTATTCTTTTTTTTATTCTACTGGAATAACAATATTTATCTTGTATTCATTTTTAACCCCCTATATATTATTTCTTTTATTTTATTCTATTTTATTTTATTCATTTATTTATTTCTCTCTCTGTCTCTCTCTCTCTCTCTCACACACCCTTTCTTCTCTCTCTTTATTCTTATCATCTTTTATTACTTTATTTTATATTTTTTATTTGTATTCCTTTACTGTAGTGGAATAACAAACAAACAAAATGTAATTCGAAAAGGCACTACCC